AAGCAAAAAACTCCAATGGTCCGTCAAATCCGTCAAAGACAGATGTCAAGCCTGTCTCAATGTTCAAGGCCGTCACTTTGAACAAAATTTATAATTAAGTAAAAATTTTCATATTTTTAAATAATAAAGTATTTGAAGCACACTATTAAATTATTTATTATAACCCGATAACAATTTCATAAAATTTTATAATGAAAAAATGTCTAGATGTCAATATCTCTTAAACAAAGCATTTACGGACATGTCTCCAGAGGAAAGTTTTTTCTTGTTTTGAGGTCCTAAGTTCATATTTTAAGTTCGGACACTTTACCCTGAAACACCCTGTATAGTACAATTATTTCTAAAGCTATTACTTTGTCTTGCAATTTCGTGACACTTTGTTCCACACAATATTCAACTATAGATGTACAATATTGTGTGAAAAAGTAATAATATACGGAGATACCATTGAAAACTAATGCGTTTGCGTTTTATGAAGATCTCGGCTACTGAAACTGTTTGCATACAGCACGCGAATCTTCATGAAGAAAATATCCGTAAATTATGGCGAAGATAATTAATATTCGCAATCTTTCAACGGGCTTGCTAAATCGACTTAAAGTACTTTATTCTTTTTTCCGCTCACTTGTGTAAACCAGTTTATGCAAGTAGGACGAAGAATGTTTCAAAAACTGGTTTGCGTCAGCAAAACGGAATATGAAGCGAATTATTGAAATCAACCCCCGTTTTGAACAATTGAGGTCAGCACATGTGCTTCTGCCGGAAAGATAACGCGATAAAAACTAAGATAATAGTGATTTTATATGCGTCTATATTTTTCTTCGGCGGTTCTTCATTTCATTGGGTATACGGGGAGAGAGTGGAAGGGCATAATGGGGACTCGTATTTGTTCTGTGCTGTAAGACTGACAAATTAGTCGGCGCGCAGTTCTATCTCGATTTCAATCACGATACGTGACATTCGTGAAATAACGTTAGACTGTTTATTGCGATGAATATTACCTGCATGCCTCGGTGTTCAAATCGGTGAGCAGTAAGATCCAGGTTCAAACCCTGGCTGAGTTAATATTTTTCGCAATAAATTAAAAAATTAAATTGGGCTCTCGACACTTTCACAGTGGTGTTGTATCGTCTTGTGGAATTCGACAAGTCGCCGTTCCAAACCGACTAGGTCTACTCCAAACCTAGTCGGTTTGGAACGGCGACTTATCGAATTCCACAAGAAGATACAACACCACTGTAAAAGTGTCGAGAGCCCAATTTAATTTTTTAATTTATTGCGAAAAATGTTAACCCAGCCAGGGTTTGAACCTGAATCTCACTACTGAAAAAGAAGGATGGAGGAAAGACCTGGTGGATCCGAAAGCAATGAAAACAAATCGCTTTCAATAACCGATCTACCCGACGATATTTACGAACATATATTTCGAATGTTAAGTGTCAGAGATCTAAGGAGCGTCGGGACGATTTCCAGGTACAACGTGGCTAATCTATTAGAGACCCTCGTTCTAATTAATCTTAATTATTTGTTACATTTAAATAGTACTAGTACTAGTACATTTTATTGATTTCCCTTAGGGTTACAAGGCATTTTTGAAGGAACGTGCCCAAACCTCTTATAACACCTCTCCTCTATATCCACTTCGCTATGTGGCGATCGAACGAAAAACCAACAATGTTTTTGTTTAGTTTTGAACCCGGGTCTTCGGATTACCAGACCAGCGCACAATCCTCTGCGCCACGATCGTCACGATAAAAATTAAAATTATTTAGACATTAATATCCCGTCTTGGCTCTTACTCCTTTATTACTTCGGAATCTGTCATTTCACATCAGAGCCTTATACATTTTATTAATATATTTTTCTTGTTGTAAACACGGATGTTTACTCCTAAATGTTCTGTTTCGTTTTATGATACAGAAAATACAAGGAAATATTTGCGATACGAAACTTGTAGTATTTAGTTAGCAATAAGCGAAAGGATTCGTACCTTAACGATCGTATTTTGAGAGATTAAATCCCGCTCCACGGCCACGATATACCGTATCGACGGCCAATTTTGTAGCACCGAGGATACAGTTCTGAAAATCAAATTACTTGTAACGGTAAGCGGATTTGGGTAACCAGACAATTAGAACTCCAGCATGCTCCAACAAGTTTACGCTTGCGCTCAGCCATCAAAGTATCAACATTTATGAAATATTAAATTTTTTTCAGAGATCATCAAACATTTTGAAATCGCGATATTTACGTATATGCATGTAATATAAACTTTTGTAATTATTTTTATCGCTACCATTATTTTCATATATCCATATCAATTCTCTTTCGCGAGTATACGTAAAAATATTAATGCATAAAATTATTTTTTCTGATATAAAAGAATTAAATCGAGGAAAAAAATAGCATTATATTGTATTAAAATTTCTTATCACGATACTGCGATATTAGCAATATTTGGTAGGACTAGTTTTAATATTGAAGATGATATTAATAAGAGGAAGCTTTGCAGCAAAATATTTCCTCATATTGCAAAGCACCGAATTTCTTCTATAACATATTCCGAGGCGCGATTCAATCTGTTTTATTCCCCAAGTATCGAAATGAATGCCAATATCGCAATTTCTTGAGCAAGACAAATGTTCCTCTATTTCTTTTTTATTATCACACTCACGCGGCTAAATCGCGAACGTGTAAGAGAGGTATCTTGTTCCGTCCTTTGCCAAATATCGGTAACAAAGGCGCGTTTTGCCACGCCATTTTGAACAGATAATGAAGCGGACCTTCCTCCTCGCCGTATGTGATACCGCAACAAATAACCAATGTTCTTAATTTGCTCTTTAAATTAGCGATCCTCCTGACAGCCACAACCTCCCTCTCGCACTGAATATGTTCCTTGTAATTCGGATGAGGCTTTTGTTTTCGATAATCAGCTTCCGTGAATGGTAAATCAGGATCTGCCGGGTCTAACGGCTTCGTGAAAGCCCACGTCATTATGGTGGAAATTAAAATGAAATGTCTTGTTGGCTCTTCTCGTCTGAAAGCTTTTGGCGATTTTTTCTCCGCACTTTCCAGCATACGGACAATTTCTAAGACAAAAAGAGATATTTATTGTCTCGATGAGAACTTTATGTGGTCGTACGTTTTAAAGTTAGTTTTTTACTTTTTAATATGCATCAAGTAACTTCCTTTTATTACTTAAACGGTAAGATCAACTAATATATAAGTGACGGATACCGTTATATGTCTAATAGAAAATAAAAATTTAAGCTGTGCCTAATTTGAAAATGAATCGTTTTCATCAATGAATATATGACGATTTTTCTATATTATGTATTTCTTTAATTAGGGAAACATTTACATAAACATATTTTATATACATAAAATATACAATCTAATATAATTAATATATTTCAGCATTTTTTATTTTTATTTCGCGTAAAATGTATAATAGACATTGGGATGGATAATGAAATTACACCTTTCATGTCTTGATTATTAATCAATTAAAAGAGAAATTTCATTTTCCAACTCTGCGTCTATTTTGCAATGCAGCTTGCAATAAACAGAATTTCAAATTGAATATTGAGAATCTGATGCCATGTTTAATGAAGTACATACATTGATGTAAAATACAAACTATTTTTCTGTTAGGAGTAGAATAATTTATTTTCAAAGATCATTTCTCTCCTTGCGATGTTAAAATGAAATGTTTGTATTAATATAATAATGTTACCCTTCAAGACCCAACATGCCTCTTTGATTTGGTCTGATTCTTGCGTAATGTCGTAGATAATGACACTGCAGGTCATTAACTCAGATAAAAAAAGGTCTTTGTCGTCCGAGTCAATCACCATCACATCCTCCGGGCACGAGTACTGTCGGACAGCGACGAAAATGAAATAATATTACGTGTTAACAAATTTATCACACTTTTCAATAAATATCTTTGCAGACTTCGTCTCGCTTTATTACCAATTTTCGTATCTCGCGAAACAAGATACATAACGACATGCGAATGCGCGATACAAAAGTACCAACGTGTATGTTAATCAAAGCAATGTATGTATAACTGATATTAAACATTCCAGATCTAGGTACGTTATATTAAAATCCGCGCAGTCGCGCAAGAAAGTTCCGGCAAAAGCACAAACTCGTTAATTTCGAAATAGTAAGAAACCGCCGTTATGAAAACCTGAGAGAACTTGAACGTCAAAGGAAATTGCAAATATTACCTTACGGTCCAAAACCGTCCCGATCACTTCATATTTTTTTGATACTTCTGCACTCTTGCCCGGCCACTTTCTTTTCTCTATCTCATCTCCTTGCACATACTCGTCACCCTCGTCCTCGAATTCTTCCTCTTCGACGAGCAGAGCGTCCGCACTTAGCGGATCGACATAGATAGTATCCGATAGTACCTGAACATTTTTTATCGGCCAACGTATAGCACGATATAGTAATTATATAAATCAATTGATAATATTTAATTCCTAACATCTAAACTCTGCGTATGTTGCCATTTACATGAATACAATACGTGTACACTGACAAAACAAATTTTTTTAACTAAGTAAATAGATTTACTTAAAATTATTTTTTTTACTGAAGTAAATATTTATTCTATCTAAATAAAAATATCAAATTTCAAGTAAATCTGTGTGTTATATTAAGTAAATGAATTTAAATCATTACATTTTCTACATTTAAATAAAGATTTCACGAGATAGAGAATACTATTTATTAAATGAAATCGTTGTTTTTGTTAAATAAAAAATCCAATTTTCTTTGCTGTAAAAATTATATCTTGGTAAACATTTTGTAGAATTAAAGTAAAATTTTGTCAATTTAAAATTATCTACTGTTTGATATTTAATAAATACTTAAATTAAAGAAAAGCATGTTTTAATTTGTTTATTATTTTTAATTTAAGTTAATAAGCTAATAGAAGCTACCTAATGGTAATTTTCTTGAGTAAAGTAATATTTTTTTGGATTAAGATACATTTTATCAGTGTATGAATTATTTTTTATTTTAGATTAATTAATATCGTATTCTTCTAAATCTTAATATCTTTTTATAAAATATTTATAAAAGAACAGAAGGAAAGTATCTTATACGCTAATCAAATTCTACGATTTACTTTAAAGATTTGATATAACAAAAAAAAAGAAAAACATTGCCGTTGCGCATTTAATGAGAAATATTAATAAAAGGATGTTGCGCAGTCATATTGAATCGTTTTAAAGTCTACTGTATACAGTGTGCCTTTGAAAAACTTTTTGCGCATCAGCGTATATCTTTTATTCAGCACCTTCTATTACCTGACAAAGCAATTTGTCGTTGTATATTCATGTAATATTAGTTTTAATTACTGAACCGCAAATATTTGTCCCATAAGCTGTGCTACAACGGTTAAAAATAATAAATCAACTAAACTGCTATGAGAAACTCTCAAGGGTAACTGCAAAAGTAATAATGATCATTCGTTCATTTTTCACATAATTTTTACACTTTGTGAAATGTGATATAAAGCTGTTAGTTTGTACAATGTTTGTTAGTTTGTACAATGTTGGGTCGCTTTAATCGGCATGAGTAAAGCATAGAAAAATTGAAAGATTTTTAAAATTATTCTTTTCTATTGAATATTGCGTACTAGTGTAGCTAATACAGCCCACGCGGTGTCCGAATTAAAGGTCTCTACACTTCTACATTTAAAGTTTCTGTTTAGAACATAGCTTTCAACGTCAAGTATCTCATGTTTTTGAAAGCAATTTTATTGTGATACTCGCATCTTTCGGAAAATGCGATTAATTCAAAGCGTTTGCATTTAATGCTATTTTTGAGTTGAATAGATTCAATGCGTTGCACGTTTGAGCTGTAGAATTAAATGCTTTTTAAAATTACTAAAGATATTTTTGTACTTAACTTACTATGCTTTTTACCTCTTTTAATCCGTTTAATGCCACATTTCTGTTGGCAAGTGAATTTTTAAACATATATTAGAAGTATACATTATTTATAGGACTAATATTAAAACGATAATATTAGTCCTATAAATAATGTATATTTATACTTCTTCTACATATTTACATGAATTTATATTGTTGGAAGTAATAACCAAAATGTATAACGAAACAGAATTATGGTGCAACGATTAAAATAATATAAAAATCATCACACGCAAAATAAAAATAAATATTATAAATTATATCTCAAACATTTTCTAATGCATTTGCATATTTAAGAAATTGATGTGAAAGATTAATTTTTCCATCAAGCTTTATATTAAAATTTAAAAGAAAGATCTTTACCAAGAGAAAATTCAAAATTTTCCTCTTAAATAAAAAAAGAACAGACTATTTAGATTTGTAATGGCAATTTTTTTCGATTGTGGTGAAATTTTGTTAACCAATTAAATAAATGTTTTACATCTAATATTAGACAAATAAACAAATATATATTATATAATATTATAAACAATACGTACATCCGTTAATATTTTTCCATGATAGCTGTCAATATGATTGATAAAAGTACGCCAAGGCTTAAAGTGTTGTTTCGCATTTTCAGTTGACAAATCCTCTTGTCGTTTTCGGGTCGTCTCAAAGTCGACCACATTATCCAAAATATTCGCAGCATTTGTTAGTTTAGTTGTTGATACACTTTGTTTGTTATTCATATTTGCTAAATAAATACACGTGGTATGTTACAACTATTATATCACAAACATACGATATTTTGATACGCGAAGTTACGTGAGCTGCGAGATTTCACTATCGACATTTCTGAATTGTTGAACTTGCAACTTCAATATGATAGAAATTTAAAAAATATATAGAGTGCTACAAATTTTAGTGTATAAATTTATATTGCTATAAACTATGTAACGTATCTATTATTATTGTAAGTAATTAAAACTTACTCATATTTTTTTATGTGCCGTAAAGTTGGGCGGCTTTGGCCACTTTTTCGGTTGTTGTTTATACTGTGAAAATTTATCTTAAAATTTTAAATACCTATTGCCTTGGTTCCATTTTTTTAATGATTTATACGCTATAGGAAAATTAATTAATACTTTTTATCCAATAATTACTAGTTATTAATTTCATCTCATTTCAATTATGCTAAATGAGTTCAAACATTACAGATACAATTAAGTTATACAAGATATTATATAAGATGTTAATGAGATTAATGAATATTACATGAAGATACGTTTGAGGATTAGCCTATGTTAGGGAAACATAAAGTACAAAGGAAATGTGGGGATTGTGTTGATCCCTTGATAGGAGACCAACGTAGGCGCGTTTTCAATTCTAAAAACAACCCCTCTGAGAAAAGCTACTCGTGAAAACTGAAATTACAAGCAGCAGGAACAAAAAATATCTGCTGCTTACGTCGAGCTTAGACCGTCAAATAAAACAGAGCTCATTTTAAATGATTTAAAATGTAGGATAAAGTCGGAAACAAAATTCTATTTATAGTATTATAAATAATAATGTTATTTTATGTTCAATTATTCATTAATTGTTTTATGTTTTTATATATTCGTGTATTTTTTATACTTAAAACGTTTTTTATACACCACATGGTACATCAAATTAAGAATAATTAAAATCTTTTCTCAAATCGCTATCGTAAATTATAAACTGTGTACATATAAGCAATAAATAAGCGAGCAGCTTTAGCAAATGAATTAAACATAGTTTGGTTCCATTGGTATAAAACATAAGGAACAAATATCCAACGATATGAAATTTCAGAAATAATAAATTTCCAGGACGACGGATTTTTTTTACAGAGTATTGTAATAAGGGAAAAGGCAAGGAGGGGTGGCAGGTTCTAAAGAAATGATTCGACGGGCAGAAGGGCTCCAGCAAAGAGGTCAAGGTCGCTAGTACTCAGCGAAATATGTTGACGCAATATTTTCAGAGACGAATTCACTTAACATACATTTGTTATAACGTACATTAATAACGAATAATACTGCATAATGATATAAACTAGAAATTCTAAGGATTACCAAGATGTGTTTACTGTATAATAGGATTAATGGTGAGAGCACAGGAACAAAGGATATCAATTCCTTATTGGCCTTGTAAGGAGCGTCCTAATATAGCATGCAAAGGCCTACCTGAGCTGAGCTTTCTGTGCAAGGAAAAGGGTCAGGGGTAGCGAACGCCAAACAAAGAATGAAAAAGCACAATAAACGCAAAAAGATATTGGTATGTTTTGACGGAATGACAAGTGCGTGTGTTGGGGCTATAGATAGAAAGTCGATTAATGGATAACGGGTTGGAGAAATAGGATAGGTTGTTTTCAGTTATTGCTTACCCGTTGCATTCTGCCCCAAAGACCGAATTTCAGATCAAAAGATTGATTGATAGATTGATATTACAAAGCTACCGGTATTTCAATAATTTTCCATTGCACAGCAACACTTGCGATAAATATTTTCGATTAATTATACTTTGATAATAAATATTCGATGACATTGTGATAAAATTTATTTTGATTCATTGTCAAATCAATGCTATACAATTTGTTCTGAATTAGTAACCGAGATATATTGAAAATATAATACGATACCTTTAACAGTCACACGCGTTGTTTTGTCCCAACTCCATCTCTGTATCATCGTGAAAGGAATCGGAAATACCGACATAATTTATTTATCATGTACGTGTTATCCGGGGAATGTTATTATTGAGAAAAATCTCTCGAGAGAAATGTCGAGGAAACGAAACTTAGTTATTATCGACGACAAATATTAGAAGTCTTGTGATGGCAGCGAGTCCGTAATTCACTAAGGCTCATCAATCACTTGATCGTACACACTGCTGCGACCCGGTACGGCGCCGGCGAAAAAGTATCCTGCAAATCGTACTCTACGGCGAAAACTTCACGAATTTGTCACGCGAGTGTACGTTCACGTAAATACATACATAAGGCATGAAGAAAGCACACCGTCTGTATATTAATTTACGATGACATTCGATTTCAACGCCGTCAAAAGGGTTCTCGATCTCCCTCGTCGACCGTAGAGTGATGGCCTCTCAGAGAAGAGGAAGCACACAATGGAAACCTATTTTTTGATATATGGCTCGTAGAGCAGTAAAATACGAAATCCGCGGTACGGTAAAACAGATTACGAAGCCGGAGAAGTTTAAATTGAATTACAGAGCGCAGAAAGATTTCCTCGCGATGCTGCAACCAATTGTAAATTGTAGATTTCGAGGGCATATTTCGTGAGACTCTCCTGATAACCGTTGTCACTCGCGTGGAAAATCCGCCGCTCTGTGAATCGTGACGTGATTTTACGTGCGTACGATTGAATAGAGGCGCGACGCGCAGGCAAAAGTTAACTCTACGCGAGACATCTGCTATCATAATAACAAGTGAAAACTTTACAACGTAACAATAAACCACCTACGCGCACTCCTGTTCGTCACGCGGTTCTATTTCATTTGCCTGTTGCAGGCAACGAGCAAAAAACCCGCATACGCTTTGTTTGTTGGTTTCGTTCCATTGTTTTCAAAGATAAAAGGCACACTATGCGCCATTCCCTTTTTTAAACAGCCCGTGATACGCGCACGCGAAAAAGGACAAAAAGGGAGAAAAACGGTAATATGCGCTCTGTCCCGTACACTCGCAATTTAGTCAATCAAAGGTTCTGTGTGACCAATTGCGCATCGATTTCCTATTACTTTCCACATATAGCATGTGTAAGTTACATTTCCAACTGTCCTCGCACGTCGGTGAGTCACTTTCCCGCAAAATAATCTTTTTCAGTAACTCACCTTCCTGATAAGAGCAGATATGACACACAATACGTCTAACGAGAAAATATTTTCGGATCAAGATTCTTGAGACATTTCTCTTCCTTTGTGGGAAATCGAAGATAAACTTCGGGCGACAATTTATCTTTTAAAGTCGTAAGTGAAGAACAAATTAAAGATACCGATTCTGCACAGGAAGAAATATTTTTACAACGATCTCCCTCTCGTTAATCCTCGAGCGTGGTTTGATCTTAAAGTTGGGCACGAAATATGCCGGGGGGGAGGGAAATGCATCATATATTACACGTATACGGAGTTGATAACTTGCACCGCGTTAAAGCAAAAACAAAGATATTTCTGTCATTAGCAAGACACGCATTGTTCTCGATATAAACGAGAACGGAAAGCTCGAAGCGTTGGCGTACATCTCTTCATTTGCCTCAAACCAAGGATACCGTTCTCTTCGTCGTGGGATGCACAACGATGACGTATTCCTCGGGAACGCACGCAGACACGTGCACGAGCGCGATTTATTTAAAGGACTTTCTCATCTGCATTTTCTTTTTTCCATTGCACGAATCTAACGAACGTTATGCTTTCTCTCCGGATGCGCCATCTACTTTTGCGAACAGCCATTTGAAATTATATGATTTCCAATCCAATTAGCAACTTATGTAATATGATTTTCATTATTCGCCATTAAATTATATAGTCCAGCGTAACGCACCACAGCGACATGAATTCTTGTGAATATTTTATCCTTTCATTACTGTTCGCCTACGCAGCTTTAACATACCGAAGCGAAAAACTTAACCCTGCGAAGCGTGCATTTTTCTATTGGACCATTTGTTAGTTGTCTAGTTAACTTAGTTAACTAGAAATTAAATGGCCAAAAGGTAAAGAAATTGAGGTGGTAACGTGGGTTACCACCATGCTTCAAAGGGTTAAATGAAGGTTTTCTTTCATAAATTTCGAAAAGCAAAAGAAGAATATTCTGTATATCAAAAAATCACTTTGGATCGAATATATCTGCTTATTGTATCTGTATGTGTAACATTTCCAACCGTTCTCGACGACGAGTCATTACGAAATATGTAATCTTCTCTGGTAACGCTTCTTCCTGATAAGATATGACAATGCGTCTAAAAAGAAAAATCTTTTTAGGCCACAACACTTGAGACACTCTTCTCTCTTACCTGTTTATATTCGTGCCTTATTGAAACCTTACGATCTCAATATTCATTAACTCACAATGAGATATTGGTAAGAAACGTTTGTTTTTCCAGAGGAATGGAGCGAGAATTTTCCCTATCAGCTTTTGATAGGGGCGGGGGTGGCCCTGGTTGGCCTGGTCCTCCTGGCAGCGGTGAGCTTTCAATGCTCTTCCACTTGGCGATGGCTGATGAGTGTGACTCGGCATGAGAACGTCGAGGATACAGAGACCGATCAGATTCAGCAAAATGCGATTCGCATCAGTCATTCTCTCCCGGATCTCCAATCAGAGCCGATCACTCATGAATACGTGCAAGAGCAGAAAGATAACAAAAAGGTACCGTTGGCAATTTCGTATCGGTGAGATGTCCCATGAAATTCTGCGACTATTTTACCGTTGTCGTTTTGCTAGGTGCTGCGACAAACCACTTTGCCCATCGTTCCGATGAGACATCAAAGCTTCCAACGTCAATTATCGCACCGGCTTGATCTGCCTAACATTAAATTCAGCATTTGCAGCTTCGAAAATCGCAGCGATTCCAGCCTCGGTCTTATCAAGGTATTTCAGCGTTATTACGTTATACCGTACCTTTGTCACGATGGATGTTGAAATGCAAACAGCGACGCAATGTCACTTGATTCCTTTTGAAGCAAGCTTATCGTGTAACGTATAGAATTCCGTGTATTCCGGTTTATTTCCGGTTACCTTGTTCTCACGCACGTTAATTGATTAACAATATCGTATAAATGCGGGCTTAATTTAAATCTACAAAACTTCATTTCACTTGCGAGATGTAATATTGGCGCGAACTGTTAACACTGTGCAGCCGGAGTTGTATAAAAAGGAACTCGTGAGACAAGAGAGTGCGGAGAGCTCCAGTACAACAGATATGGAATACGCTGGGAAATTACACTTCGCTCTTCGCTATGACAAAGAAATCGAAGGTCTTGTCGTCAAGGTAAGTATCGTGTGACATTTATTGTGATTTGTCGCAAATTCAATTACATTAAAATAGACACTTGACAAATTATACATAACGTAAATTGTACTATAACGAATTGTTTAAATTGCGTAGCACGGCAGACAAACGAAATTACGGTAAATAAATGTTCGTGCGATATTAAACAAAATAAATTCATAATTGTATAAATGAGGTATAAAATTCTCGTGGACGAGAAAATTTAATCCGTGCGTGAATAAATGGGCTTGCATTTAAACTGCTTTTGTGCGGCTGAATATCTATCTTTATTCAGCACGTGAGATATTGAACAATGATAATGTAGTATCACAATATTGCATTTGTGACGGACGTACATGCATCCTCCTGTATTAGAATTAACTGCGGTAACGTATAGATTAGGTAATGCCGGCTACATTAAGCTATTACCGCGGTGAGTTCAAGTGCATTAAGATCAATTATACACGGTGAAGCACACTTCAAAGATAAATTTAAACATGATGCTATTATCGACCTCTGCTCCATTTGCCGCATTGCGTTCTACGCAAATTTTTATGAAACTACAATAATATTTTCGAAACTAGTATTTATATAAGAAAGTCAAGTTTTGTACCCGATTACTTAATACGATTATTAATACATAATAGTTCAATGAATTATACCTTTCCCACTTATCTGCAAATCTAAATGTAAATAATAACAACTTCACTATTTTCTTGACCAAATCTGGCGTTTTTAAACTAGCGGGGGTCAGATTGACCCCATGTGTAGCGTGTGTCTCAAATAGATAGCGTGTAGTTTAAGGGCTAAAATGGATAAGCGATTTCTAATTATATAAAATACTGTATTTAGAATTCAATACCTCCCTCCCCGTACTGTAAAGAATTTCTCAGTAACATTTGTTTCTTGTAATATCAGGTTCTGGAGGCTCGCGAATTGCCAATAAAAGATGTAACGGGTAGCAGCGATCCGTACGTCAAGGTGTACCTGTTGCCAGATAGGAAGAAAAAGTTCCAAACGAAAGTACATCGAAAGAATTTGAACCCGATATTCAATGAAACGTTTATCTTTAGGTAAGGAAATTTACACTGCAACTTGAGAGACTCTCGGCATTCAGTTACTGAATAACATAATTGCGTGAAAGAAATTGAAAGCGCGGTGCTTGATATCTAATTTATTTCATCAGCGTGTCATACGAAGAACTGAGAGAACGTTACGTGCAATTCTCGGTTTACGACTTCGATCGGTTCTCACGTCACGATCTCATTGGACAAGTAGTTCTTAAAGGGCTCTTAGAATGCACTGATCTCGAGCAAGAAATCGAATATACGATGGACATCCTTTGCGCTCTGCAGGTACCTCAATTTGCGCGAGACAGACGATTTAATTATTTTAAAGCGATCACTGCGATCGTACAGCTCTAACTTTTCAATGTGCGTTATAGGAGAAGGTCAATCTGGGAGAATTGATGCTGTCGTTGTGCTATCTACCAACGGCCGGTCGGTTGACATTAACCGTCGTTAAAGCCAGAAACTTGAAGGGAATGGACATAACAGGCAAATCAGGTGGGAGTCAGATCAGTTATTTTTTGCGATTGTGTGACTAATGGAAAAGTTCTACTAAAAATATAACATCATTATGCCGTTATTATACAGGGTGAGTCTTTCCATATCCGACAAAATTTTTGAGAAGGTAGAACGGATCGAAATGAACGGAAAAGTCCTGTACCATTTTGCAATTTTCGTAATAGTTAACGAGTAATTAATTATTAAAAATCGTTGCCTTAGACCGGCCTACCGCCCAATTCGAGCGCGTGGCGAGATGTGCGCATAGCAATATCGATCGCCGGGCGGTCACATCTTGCCACGCGCTCGAATTGGGCGGTAGGCCGGCCTAAGACGATTTTTAATAATTAATTACT